AAAAAAGGAAACGAAATGTTTATGTATATTCCGGTAACCTTGAACGATCATCACACCCGAAATTAATTCGACGAAAATGATCTTGAAAACGATCATCGAAAGTAGAACGTTCGAGAGTCAAGGTAAGTATTGAATTTTTGTTATTTAATATTTTTTTTTTTGTTATCCTTGATGGTTGACATTCCTTGTACGAAATCAATCAAAATCGTAAGACAAGATAAAGATCCAATTAAATTTATCCGCATATTTGAATAAACATATATTTATCCTAATAATTTATATGATAATAGAAGCAAATAAAATAACTAAATGTTTATTTAAAAAATATTTTTTGAGATAACCTTATTAGCGGGGGGTATAGTTTTATCCGTTGGTTCGAGTATTTGATTTCCAAATGAAATTTTAAACACCGGAACAGGAAGTGGATTTATCTTTGTTGCATTATTATTATCAATCGATGACAAAACGTTTTCAGTTTCTTTCGTATTAATTTCCTAAATGAAAATCAAATTTATTAATTAATAATATTAAAACAATTTAATTATTTTTTATTTTGAATAATATAATAATAATAATAATAATAATAATAATAATAATAATTTTAATCTGTTTAATTAATTTAATAATTATTATTTGACCTATAAAATTAATAATATTAGAACGTCACAATAAATTTTTATAAAATAATAAATAAATAAAAAACCTGATTATCTTTCGTCAAAATGATTCCTTCCTTATCGACAATGACACTTTCTAAATTGTCATAAACATTTTTATCTTGATCATTTTCAGCCATTTGTTGAGCAATTAAAAATGCATTTAAATGATCTTTTCGAGCAGCTATGACTTCGGGAGTATCCTGGACCGGAAGTGGAGCCTGTGGAAGATTAGTAGCAACAACACGAAAACCATTGTCATCAGCAATGTATTCGGTACTTTGAATCATTCCCTTATCATCAATATAACTGTATGTACCACGTATTGTACCGTCTACAGTTTTAACTTCTGATCTTGCTGAATTGAGAGTACTATAACCAAAACTATACTGACCAAAACTATCCTGATAACCAAGAAGTATATTATTCGTTGATTGACCTAAACTTTTACGAAGAGACAAGCAACACAATAAACACGTCAACTAAAAAGAAAAACAAAATTAAACAAAAATATAATCCCATTTGAATAAAGTTAGAATTTTATATGTAATTGTAATTGTATTGTTTATATAAACTTACAAATGTTACTTTCATCTTGGATTGGATGACCAACATAAAACCGAGTGTTTCAACGTCAAAAATAATATTCGTTCATGCAAACACTTTGCGAAAGAATTTATATATGCAACAAGACTCTCTTATAACAAAAACCACCACAACTTCTCTTCTCTTCCCACATGTTGCTTAAGATGTTTTTTTTTCTTTTTCCATTTGGTTTATCGATCGTTTAGTATAGATTATGTTGAAAATGTTTAAAAATGCGAGAAAGGAAAGAGGGAAGAATAACGAAATAAGAAGAACAGAATTTAAACTGGTCGTAACTCTGTGTGTGTTTGTGTGTGTTTGTGTGATGCCAAGGACAGGGATCCCAATACTTACTCTCAACCAAGGTTTTATTCGCTTTGAAATCCGGCTTCGAAGTTAAAACAACTGACATGAACCTCTTTTTTCTGATAACCCGTGTCCTGAATGTAATTGTTTTGCCCTAATACGTCAATACTCAAGGTAGAATTTAAATGATTTTGGATATTACAATAAATTGTATCATTTCCTTTTCATTTATTTGACAAAGATTAATTTATAGTTAAAACGATATCTTAAATAAAAAATATAACAATTATTTATTCGTATAATTAGATGCAATGATTAATTATTTGATGCTTTTGATTTTAAACACGTTGCATTGAAACAAAGTTATTTGGAAAATATAATGGAAAAATTATTTTAAAAAACAAATAATAAATTTGTTTTAAAAAAGTATTGAATCAATGACTACAACATTCAATATAAAAATACAAATTCTATAGTAAAATAAAAATAAAAAWAAAAA